TGCCCCAGTCTGGCTGAATGGCAGCACAGTCTTCCTGTGTATTAGCCACTCCTCCTGGTTTTGTATGCATCAGGCTGATAGGATAGAGAGTAAAGACAATGCTTGCTGCGACTGCGTGGCACTGGATACCAACCAAGAAAGAGTGTTAATGCACAACACAAGTGTCTTCAACTTCAGTAGTATGAAGTCATTATCAATGGTCCATATCTGACCAAAATAAGGACTTTGCCCCAAAAGCATTCTGATGGTGTGAATTCCTAAAGCACAAGCTAAAGGGAGAAATTGTCTTCTTCTGAACTCCCAGTAAAGGAAAGAAGTTCTGGAAGCGTACGATCTTACTCCTTCTGAAACCTAAATGTCAAAGATTAAAATGCACCAGGCCGAAGCAGTGACTAAATATTCACTAATCCTGAACATCCCCAATTACAGCTTCATTGTGTCATATTTACCACGTTCTCTGCAGAGTTCCTGGGGTTTGCGCCTACAAAAGTTACTCCAGCAACTTCTCTCTGTGTGGGAAATTGAAAATTATGTTAAAGTCTGAGCAATGTATTAAGAACATCCTTCGAAGAATCCATATCGGTTTTTTAGTGGTTTGGTTGGGGTTTTCTGGGTTTTTTCTTTGATGGTCTTTCTGACATTTTTATTTCATTTGTGTTCCATACCAGAGGCATCAAAGGTGACCTGATTTCTGCTTGTAAAGAAAGCACTGTACAAGATTTGCCTATTTAATCATCAACTGGTATGTTATGTCAAAGCAAAAGGGGAAATCTTCATGGTGATAATCAGGGGTTTTTACTTTCCCCTTCATTCACTCTCTTTAATCACGTTCATTACAGTGACATTGGCATTAAAATTGCTCTGTCTCTGTCTTTTCAACCTTGTCCACTAAGAGCAATGAGACTTTTTTAATCTGAGAGCACCACAACCCTTTAGAAAACATAGACTTTTTCTGAAGAGGGGTAAGAATTTAAAGACAATATCCCAAACAGGTTTTAGCAAATCCCTCAAGCTCTCACCGCTTGATACTGTTGTTTCACTTCTTGTAACACATCCCCAAACGTCTTATTTGCTGGTGCGCGATCGGCATTGACAGTAGGCACCAAGGTCACGTTACCTATGTTGAAAACTGGGGGCTCTGGACCACGTGGCAAATCCTGAACTGTATTCTGGGGGAGGGAAGATGTGCTCATTACATATACATATAGATAATCCATATCTCTGTGATGAATCTTACCAGTACTCTGGTTCTTTATCCAAATCCATTGCTTAGATATATTCTAAGAACAAGGGCAATAAAGTGAGCGTAAAAACAAGCAAGAGGCTCCTCATCTGTGCTCTGCGTGCAGGAACATTCCCCACAGGACACCCGCTGCCCTGTTGCTGAGGTCCCCCAAATCCACCTGCCAGAATATCCCATGACTTCAGGAGGCAGCACCCGCCCATTATTCCTGCACGTTCACACGTCCACAGGTACAATGGTAATGAACATTGCCATATACAGCAGAAATGTAGCAGACATTTTTTTCCTCTTGGTAGAAAAGCAGCAACTTCAGGCCATGCTGAAAGGCTGGAGGTACCTATCTTCTAAACTTGGAACCAAAAACCCCCAGAATTTCTTAAGTGGTATAAGACCCCCATCACAGGATTTCTTTTCATACCATATGAGAACATCTCAAAGCAGTTTCTTATGAGAAAAAAGAGGGTAGCAATCATGCAGCCTCACTGAGAAACAAATATAGCCATCACCGTTTAGAAGTTTCAAGCAGTATGTGGCATATAGAAAATTTTGACTACCGTAGCAATAGCCCTTGCAAGTTCTCTGTACAGTTGAATATAAGCAGAAAGGGTGTGCGGCCCATAAATAGTTGATGCAGCCTCATATCGTTGAACCTGTCAAAGGACAAATTTGGAAAAGGAGAGTTTGAAGGACTCTTGAGCAGTTTATGCAGCTCATCCTACTGCGCCAAGACAAGATCAGCACTATATCTGCAGCGGTTTATTTACTCCCTTACTGCTAGGGATACAGCCCAACAACTTGCTTAAGTATTTCTGGTGTAATTTCAGGTTACTCTTCATTCTCCAATCCATCGCAAACAAGGAGGACCAGTTGTCACTCTTCTAATTATCACAGCTCTTTTACTTTTAAAGGCTTATGATATAGGTCTTCTCCTCTGCGCATTTTTTGGTTGGATAACCCCAGTTCTTCCAACCTTCCCTCTCAATTTAGGGTTTCTAAACCCTAGGAATCCATCCAATGGTCCATATCTTCCTCAAAGTATAGCATCTACCATGCTTTGTGGGGACCTTTAAAACTTGGTTTTACAAGCTATATTGTAGTCGCTACCACAGCAACATGGCACTGCAATTCACGTTCAATTTATGACCCCACAGCTCCAAATCTTTCTTCTGGGCAATTTTGCCAATTTATGAAGATAATTTCTAATTTATTCAAGTCATCATAGATTATTAAAAGAGATCTGAACTCACAGGAGCTCCATTCAGTATGTCTGACCATTTCCAAATTAAAGCATCCATACACACTCTCTAGCTATGGTCAGGAAACCACGTAGGTCATTACACCGTGTGATCTAGGCTAGGATGAACAAGGAGGTCTCGTGATTTCTGCCACAGATTCTGCAGCTTTTCATGGCAAAGAAAAAGTGTTCCAAATACGCATGATTTCACATGAACTATCCTTCCATATGGCAAAAAGCTGAACTTAATTAAACACATTCAATCCACAATTTTAACTGTTTACCTGGTATTCTTCATAGGTGGTAATGTAATGGGTGTAGACATTGCACAGACCTGCAATTACAACATCCATTCTTGATGTACCATGTACCGAATCAAATTCCTAAGAAAGCAAATAGATCAGTTATCTTGTAAGAACTGCTTAATGCACCTTTTTTTTTTTAATTAGGACAGAATAGAAAGTTATGGGGGGTGGCAGATGTGTGGATGTTTGGGAATGCAATCCTAAAGTGTGATTAGTAATTTAATGTCTCATATTCATTTCCCACAGGAAAAAGATGAGAAATGACCTCTTATTCTAGTAAATTCAACACATGTAGTGCTTTTTTGAAGCTGATGTCTATATTCTCCTAAAAAACTCGGTGATCTAACTATGTGAGACAGCCTCAGTGAGTTGTGGAGACAGCAGTTGAGATTAAGATGGTATTCAGACCGCAGCTGAGAATAGGGTGTATCAATCAGGAAAATGGAAAAAAATACACTTGCCATTTTTTTTTCAGTTGTTCTCATGTTGCAAAATCCTGGTAGCAATTAAGCAGCTAAACCTCTCTACCCCAGAGACAAAACTTCTTCTAGAATCACTTACGCCTGGATCCCAGTTGAATTACCTTGTATTGGCTTAATGGATTGAAACCCGATTGGTTTGCTTCTTTTTGGGAGGATGTTAATTTCTCCTGAATGTCAGTCAGCACATGCAAAATGTGTATGAAGCATTTGTGAGAAGGAAACCTCTGTGAGATGCAAGGCCCATGAGCCCAGCTGGGAGGAGACTAGGTTCAAGAACCAGAAGGATCAAGAAATGTTAAGTTCCAGATACGCTGCTCTCTCAAGAAACTTCTTTCTCAGTAACTTACTCTTTTAACAGCTTCCCGTAGCCTGCGTCCAGACATGGTCCTAGGGCATTAAGGGAACAATGTCAACCTCAAGAAATGCAAGGAGCTAAAGTAGGAATCGCTGCCTGGACATGCAGTGCACCACCAGAAATTCACATAGCACTTGCAGTGCTGCTCAGCATTCCTTAGGGCTTCTCTGCGATGAGCTCAACCAAAGCACCTCAAAACATTTTGCACACATCATCACAGCCAGAGTGTGGCTAGAAGGACCGCAGTGTGGGGTGAGGTAGAAAAAAAGATGCTAGAAATAAATAATTGCCCTCTTCAGATTTTCGCCATTGTACCCACAGTTAGTGCGATTCATCATTCCACTGTTTGTGGCACAAAAAAAAAAAAAAAAATCAAAGCTAACAAGTTTCTTTTTTTATTGAAACTGCATTTTGCAATGAACAGTTAAAATTATTTAGGAATCTTGTTTGCATCTCATTCATTCCCATGGCTAGTTTACAGAACAGAGAAGAAATTGGGAACCCCCAGGAAACCAGAGGAGACAGTATACAAGAAAGTACATGCCGTGGACATATATATGTAGTGCCTGCAATTTTTAGCTTACATACCCTTTTTACCCGCATGCAGAAGTATCACAAGTAGTTTGCATGAAAGGCTGCCAGCTGCAATACATAGAACAAGACAAAGGGAATACATACGTGAACTCTCCAGGAACAGCAATAATTGCCAGTGATCCAATGGCAGCAATCTGAACATCCACAATGTCAGGGTGCCATGGGTGAGGCCGAGTCATCTGAGGTGAAAAGAATGTGGCTATGACTATTGTAGGACAGTAGCAAAATAAGATAGCTAAACTGTTTTCCTTCCTACAGTCATAAAACAGGCAAATAAATTTATTTTGTAGACAGGCACATGAGAAAGTCTTTTACCTCCACATGTACAGCAAGTTGCCTGACCACAACAGACAGATAAGGCACATGTCAATATTATGGGTAAGGCAAAAAAAAAGGTATTGCCAGAGGGACAGCTTAAAGCAAAGTGGGTAAATAAGGTGAGGGTAGCACCTAGAAACCCTTCATCTGCATGGGAAAAGGATAGTATTAGGATCAATAAGGTTGATCCTCTGACCAGGAGAGCAAAAGTGAATGAGTGAAATTAGAGAGCCCGATAGGGATGGGAAAAGAGAGTTCTCTCTTCATTAGCTGAGCGAATGCACCACCGGTTTTGATTCAGAGGGAGAATTTCTAAGTCACCCAGAGGGTGATGATCAGGGAACCCTCAACCTAGCCCTGACTTCAGACTGCCCCAGAGCAGGGACCAAACCATACTCAGATGCAGCACTGTTGCAGCCCAAACACACACTACAGCAGTATTTAATCTTAAAAATAAATAGCTAGATAAAAAGGAAGAAGCCTGTTGAAAGGAAATTAAGAGTAACAAGAGCTCAAGGATGGCATGGCTCCAGCAAATGAAATGCAAAATCCCACTCCAGCAAGCCAAAAAGATTGCCCTACCAAAACCTAGCCCAGATCAGCAATCTCTGCACTTGCCAGGGCACACACCAATGTATCCTTACCTCTCCAGTGCTAAAGAGGATTGGCTTGGGTTTGTGGCAGGCTTTCGTTTCATTGGATGGCTCTCCCAGCAGCTGGTCCCTGACTTCATCCCAAAACGGGTCCCCTTCTACTAAGCCTTGAGGGGGAAACACCTTTTAAATACTGTTCTTTCAGCTGCTCCAAAAGCTATTGGGCAGAATACTCATTTATTACCCCCTCCTTGCTTATGTGGGACAGGATATTTCTCAGTGGATTCTGACTATCTCCTTTTTCTGGGGTGGTTTGAAAAGATGAACTTTAGCCCAGATGAACTTCATCTTGTCAGCCTTTGGGTAATGAGAACAAATGAGAAAGATTGCCCCAAAGCTAGCTTTTTCTTCTTCCCACTCCCCAGCCAGCGCTATCCTTCCTTCAGAGCATGGTCACATCCTTCTCCAGAAGTTTTCTGAGAAACACAAACTTGTGAGAGGCCTGCAAGATCACACCTTCCTAAAAAACATCCCTTTGGAGATTGTGATTCAACCAGCCGTTCATGTCCTTAAATGACTCTGAGGGTTTGAGTCTATCTGAGAGATGTCCCATGTCCTCCCCATTTGTACAAAGCCATATTGAAATCTGCTTCCTAAATTACCTTGTGTGAAGTTGAAAGCCCCCACTCCGTCAATAGTCCCTGCAGCAAAGCTGTATCCTAAGGCTGGTTTACACGTTTTAACCTTAGTCAGAAGGGGGAAAAAAGTTGATAAACAGATATTTTAAAACTAGTTCACTCAGTGTGCCAAGTTTGGCTGTGAGAATGTAACATTTCTTCCTTCCTTATGCCTGCATCCTGGGAACTCTTGCTCTTACCGTGTGCGTGGTATTGAGCTCCACCGAGACATCGCTCATGTTCACCCACTGGTGAGCTGAGCTGAGGGGTCCTGTGACCTCCTGGAAAGCTTTTTCATACAGCTCCTAAGGGATACATGAGGTGGAAATCCTTGAGAAAGCAGAAATCAGGAACCAGCTCTTCTGAAATTCAACTACATTAATTATTTCTTCATTCTGTTGACACCTTCCAGTGGCCTCTTCCAGATGTTAAAGTAAGAGCATATTTCCCAAGCTCATTTGTTTCTATGACCCTGTCTCTACACCCTGCATGCCCCGAGTCCTGCAAGCTTTACCTACCTATCTCAAGTAACATAGGAACAACACTGAGGTCAGCTGTTTGTCTGTGCCTTTCTTTTTACAGCTGAAACGCTACCTATTTAACAAGGATGGCAAATTCTTTTCCCTAGTTGCAACATTTTGTCATTTCTCACATCTTAGACCAACCAGAAGAAATATTTTCTATGAGCAAGAAGCACTTTGTTGTATTCACTGCTTCAAAATGCATGGACTTTACCATGCATTTACTGTACAGCTGACAGCTAAGCCATTCAGCTCTTCAGCAAATGGTTTTCTGACACACGTGCCTCAAGTTGGTACATAGAAAGTGTTTCCAAAAGTTATACAGGTTTAGTAACATTCCTGTAACTGCAGGAAGGAATACAGGACATAACCTTTGAAGGCCAGGAGTCTGCAGCGTTAAAAACAACAGCAATGTTTTCCTTCACCATTTGACACACATGCCAGGCCACTCTGACTGGGACAATCTTTCACTTGCAAGTCACGATCAGCACGGAGTGACTTCAGTGCAAGCATCTGAAATGGCAATTAAAAGGAAACCGCCACCAACAAGCCTTCTGCTTTTACTCCTCTGCTGGACCTTGTTTCAGTTCCTACAAGCTGCTGTCCTTGAAACGGTGCCAAAAAATGTCCTCTTACTGACTACTCTCACATTACATGAAGCCTCAGCAGGGGAACCAGCAAATTCAGGTGACTTTTGAGTGACGGGAGGGAGCCCATAGGGTGGAGGACACTGGCTAAGTAAATGCAAAGTCAAGCAGGGCAACATGAGTATCTTTCATGAATGTTTAAGCTGGCACACTTCAACTCACATTTGTGTTACTTTGGGAGTGTAGATGCCAAAGTTGGCCAAGAAGTGTTATGTGTTCGTGTCTCTGAGCTCTTCTAGGAATCTTCAGCATCGGTGATTTTTCCCATCATGACAGCTCTGAGATGTGTGCATGAGAGGGAGGTGGAGATTATAAAGGGCAACATCCACACTATACGCCAGTGAGGATTATTGAGATCAAACACCCAAGCCAACATTTTCAAATTGCAACACCTACAACGATGTATCTAAATAAAAGTGTGTGCTTTCTGAATAATCAGGAAACATTACCTTAAGCATGTAAATATGGAATTTAGACCAATTTAATTCTACAAACATTCACAAAAACAGGCGCAAGAAAGTTACTTAAATGAACATGCTTTCCTGTAATAACAGCCTTCGTGCACACTCGTAAAAAGTATCACTTACCCTTGCTGTCAAGTAGATATTTTGCCCTATAATTCTTGTACTGTCAAACATGTCATTACCGGGACCCATGGCCATGCACATCCTTGCCTGTTAAAAAATTTGTTTAAATGCTAGTGATCAGTTAATATGGAGAACAAGTGGCACTGCAAAGTGGATGAGTTCACAAGTGATTGTCATAATGTAAGAAGCAATTGCTTCTTGCTAGCCATCTCAAATTTGGGCACTGGGTTACTACACTAACCTTTGTGGCAAGATAAATTGAAGATAAACCTTTATGTCTGAATGACCAGAAAACAGGGGGTGTAAGGACAAGACACAGTAAGTTCCTGAAAGATGTATACAGAATAGTCTAAAGAGAGGTGAATGTTGTCTTATGTCCTCCTTATGCACAGTGGTCCACCACTGGTGGCTCTGTATTTGCTGCTCCACCCCGAGTTTGCTCCTTGTCAGAAGTTAATGTAGATCAGGTAGGACATACTTACCCCCCCCACAGGACAGGTGCTCTGTGGGTTATCGCACGACTCCCCCGTGTTTACGCAGAAAGGGCCTTTGGTGTTGGGTGACACATCTCCCAGGTTGGACGACGCAAAGGCGGCAACAAAAGAACCCTGCCAAAACCAGATGTGGTCAGATGGATTTCAGTGCCTTGCAGTGATTGTAGACATCACCTGCAGCTTTCCTTGCAGTCCCCAGCATTCCAGACAGCTGATGAGCATGCGATGCTGGCAAACATTTCTGAAGTGACTGGGAGGACTGGAATGGGGATTTAGGAGTATCCCAAGAGTTAAAGACAGAAAAAGCAAGGGAAAATAGGACGCACAGGATGCAACTGCGTTTCAGGGGATCCTTCACACCACTTTGGTATCCAGACAGCCTTTCTTCATCTGCTTCTTCCATCTTAGTGGCAGCTCTTCCCCACACCTCCCCAGTTTCTCATGTTACAGATCAGATGTCAATGGAACATTGTAGCACTTTGCACAGGGTTTTTTCTTCTGCCAGGCTTTCACCTTGACAGATTTACAGGGTGAGAGCTACTGGATCTGACTGCAGGAGTTAACATCAAGCAGTACTTGTTAGAAGCAAGACTGGTTACACGCTGAGTGTCAGCTGAATTCAGCTCTCTCAGATACTCTTGTTTTTCTACCCCTCTTTTAGATATAGGATATATCAACATCAGATATTTTGATATATTATCAGCTCTTAAGCTCTTAACTCTGTGCCCAGCAGACCACGTAGCTAAATATTGAGTCCTGCAAACACCACTTAGCTTTGCGTGCATGTCAACTTGCACTTACTTGCTCTCATAACTATGCACTAGAGTCAAGTGTTGTTAAAAGCTTTTAGATAGTCCACTATAAAAAGAAACATTTGCAAGCAGGAATTAGGTAGACTTCCTTTAGTTTCCATATTTCGTATGAACTGCATGTGCTTCTCTGCCCAGAGTATTAAAATAGGAATTGGGCAACTGTTTCAAGGCACATGCTGCAGATACGCACAGGACACCCTCTTAATCAGCTCCTGACTCAAAGCACCTGTGAGATGGGTTCTGTCCATATTTACATTTCAGGTAAAATAATGTTTTTTAAAGGAGCTGTGTTCACACTCTGAGGATCACAAATCTTCTGCATAAATGAAAATCAGAAGGCAGAACTGGCAGGAAGCCGTAAGAAAGAAGTGGGGCTGACCCCAGACTTGATGCCACACTACAGATGCAACAGACTGATTCCTTTGGATCAAGTATCCCACGCATGTCTTTCTAGTATTTCTAATAGTTGAACCAAACCAAATATGTTTTATTCCTAAAGTCTAAAAAAATGCCACTGATTACTAGTTTAGAAAGTCAAGAGTACATCTTGCAATTACTCTTCTCTAAAGGAAGAAAGTAAATAAATCAAGGCATTCATCTTTTTCCTCCTTTTTTCTCTGTTTACCCTGCTGTCCTGTTTCACTCTTTGAATGAATCTGGCCCATAGAAAGTAACAATCATCACACACACACACACCCCCCCCCCCCCGTGTTGCAGCACTTTTTTCCCCATTATTTTCAGTAGACTGAAAACACTCCCACCTGTCCTGGAAGCATCCCCTTGTTCTTCTCCTGTTCAAACAAATAAGATGCGTAGCCCATGTTGTCGCTATTCACAAGCAGGTTTGTGTTGTTCATGCTAACCGGGTGCACAGCAAACCAGCTGAAGAGGAGCCAGATGACACACATAGGAAATACATTGTTCAATCTATGTATTGGCAATTGACTTGTTCAATCTATATATTTGCAATTGACTTATGGGAATTTTCTTTGGGAGAATACAAATGCAGACTGTTGGTACCTAGGGATGGATTAACTTGGGCAGAGTTATTTCCATCCTCTCCCTTCCTGACCAGGAGGGCTCATGGCTACGATGGTCCAGGTCTGAGGTCACAAGAATTTGGCACCATAATTATCAGGGCCACCAAGTCATATCAGACCTGAACGGACTCCTTTCTGAGTTTTATATTATTATATATAATAATATAAATTATATTTTGAATATATGAGAATTATATTTTGGAGGGATTTATAACTCCTTGCTTCAGAGAAACAAAGAGGGGTCAACGATGGAAAAAAAGGAATATTTTCATTCTTAAAAAAATAAACCCCTCCTCTTCCTCTGAACACAGTCAAACTCTCGCTTGTCACTTCTAAATGAGGAAAAAACAATTATGGCTTTGTTACTGCATGTTACTTCATTTGCCTGGCCTTGAGCTCTGAACTTTGTGCAGCTGAACACTGCCCCACAGATGTGTTGATAGGATGGGCATCATAAATACTGCCTGCAGGAATGGCATGCTTCCCAAGAAACGTGGGGTGTTAAAAAAAATAACCAAGAGAAGATGATCTCAAAGGGTTCTGGAGATGCCGGGGCTGGAATCTGCTTGGAGCGGCACGGCAAGAGACCCAGAGGGGATTTTTCTGCACTCCCGCAAGGGAAGACCAGCTACAGTCACCTTCCCCAGAGGCCTTTGGGTCATGTCAGGAGATGTGCCCAACTGTAGGCAGGCTGCTGCTGTATCTTCCAGAGTAGATGGGCGACGCTGACCTGGTTCAAGCACTCATGGACTCTCACTTACTCTTCCCTCAGAGACACTCTCTGGTGACTAGCGGGGAGCAATGATCTATGGGCAAGGCTCTGTGTTGGGAAGGAGAGCTTGTGCAGAAAGACAGAACTGCTACAGAATTGCAGTTCATGAGGATTTGGAGAAAAACCTGTAACTTCAGTGGTCAGTACCTGATAAGGCCTAGCTCCTCTCCATTACTATCTACCATCTTCAGCAACACCATTTCTTTATCCGTGTTGGATGAATACCTGGATGAAAACAAAGCAGGGAAATCCCATTAGCACTAGAGCCATGGTCACTCTCTGTGTTGCTCAGACACATTAAATTGCCCCTAGGTTGAGCAAAGAAATGAGATGTTTGTTACAGATATTACCAGAGCACAACGAGACCTTAGGGGAGCATCTGAAAATAGCTGTGAGTAAGGGAAGAGTTATGGTTGTTGCTGACCTCAGCTGCTGCTTCTCCAGGGGATGATGAGAGGAGGTCTCTCCAAATACAAATTCATGCACCAAGAATGGCACTTTAGTGCTGTCTGACTCAAATTCTGAAGTCTACTAAAGACTCTTTTTTCTTTTTTTTTTTAAAAAGCATAAAGTCACGTTCTTGACCAAAGCCTCACAATGCTTGGAGGGGGAAACCACAACTTTCAAGCTCACTCTTGCAACTTGTTTTTGGGGATGCACACACTCAAGTGCCCAGGATGGCAACAGTGTCATCCTGTCATGGTCTTGACTCCACATGTTCAACCATTCCACGAATGACCAGAAACACCAGATACAGGACAGATTGGTCATGGTCCCAACAAAAGGGTCTTCTTTGGGGCTCTGTTTCTCTCCTTTCTGAGGACCTTTTACCTGCTTCGTTCAGATGCTGGATTCTCAAGATAGGAGAAAGGGCTTCGGTTGATCTGACTGTTTTCTACAGTGCCTCTGTTTATAAAAAGCCTTCCTCTTTTCATGTTCTGATGCGCTGTATCTATGCTCTGAAAAGCAGGAAGGCAGGGAATATTAGTCCATGCATGTCAGGCATGTGTGAGACTACCTGGAAAAATTCTATTTCCTTCCCTGCCTGTCCCCATCCCTTTCTTGGGAATTTATGTGCCTTTTTTTTCAATTAAGTAGTCTGAAATTCTAGAAAATTATGACAGTATTTTGAAACCACTTACAACTGTCTCTTTCTAAAGAAAGACTTCAAGGCTTCTGGGTTTTGATCTGATATCACTGGTAAACATAAACCCACCTCCAAGCATGTTTTAAGACTGTGACATTCCGAGGTGCTGCACAAACATTAGAGCAAGGGCTCTGTTAGTCACAGATGTATCTCACCCCACCTTTTCTGTGTTTATGGGCTCTCATATCAACAGACTGGATGACACCAACCTTTACGATGCCATTCACGATAGCGTTGAGTGATGGTCTGATTAGACCTTTGCTAGTGATCCAGAAGAGGGTGTACTGGAAGTAGCCACCAGGCCCTGAATGTGTGTGGGTGCCACTGAGGATGACGTTGTCTTGTCGGTACAGCTCGCCATACTTGCTCTTCAGTTTCTCGAGCACCTAAGAGGAAGGCGGTGGTACTAAAAACACATTTTTTTACGCCCAAAGGCTACAGAGATTTGTATTAGTCCTTGTAAAAAAAGCAACCATTCATCTTCCTCCTTGCTCTTCTTTTTCTGCCTAATATTCCCATGCTGATGTCAGAACAAGTAGGTTACAGCTGTTGACTTGGCAAGACCCTTAAAATAATAAAATCTGGTAAGTGAAGACCTCTATGGCCAACTTGCAGTGAAACCCAGATCATTCAAGCTGTCCCCAGTTCTCTGGCATCTCCCCTGTGGTGCTGGAGACCCAGCACTACACAGGCACCGTGATAATGTATTCGTAATTCAAATATACTCGTGATAATTTTTCCACTGAGAAAAGCATGGTCACAGTCCAGCCTCATTTGCTGAGGAATCAAAAGGTCTTCTTCAGCAGAGACACACCGTCTCTCTAAGATCATGCCACAAGGAGATCCCAAAGCAAATGTCCAATGGGCTTCTGTGCTCAATACTATTTAGCAATGACTATAACCTTCATGCCAATACCAGCGACAACAGAAACTGAGGCAATCATTCATTTCCAGCCACGTACCTCCAGCCTCAGTCTCTGAGATACCATTCCTATGTCGGCACTGACAAATACTACTCGCCTGGAGTCATCAAGGTCTGCCACGATGAAGGCTCGGCTGTAGAGGCGCATCAGAAGCCCACCACCCACCTGTTCTGGGTTCGCATATCCCATCTGGAAGGGAAGAGCTCCATCAAGCCCACACAGCCAAAATACTGAGCAACGTATTCATTTGCATGTATTTTTCTAAGTAGATTTGCCAGAGGGTCAGTGGTCTCATACTACGTATGAACACTTGGAGCTGCAACTGTCTTGCCTTGTGATTGCAAAAATCATTGAATCATAGAATGGTTTGAGTCAGAAGGGACCTTAAAGATTATCTAGTTCCAACCCCCCTGCCATAGGCAGGGACACCTTCCACTAGATGAGGTTAATCAAAGCCTCCAAGAAATTTCACCTAATGTTTGAAGATGACAACCCTTTGGCAAGGCAGAACCTCTAAACCAGAAGTCTTGCAAAAAATATCCAGAGATTATGAAAAATCGGTATTTTCCCAACCTTGTGTTCAATTTTCCCAACTTACCAGAGGAATTTCTGCCACAGGTCCCGTGCAGTCAGCTCGACCTACGCCCAGTAAGTAGTTTGCTACTACTTTGCTGGAGTCTATAGTAAGAATAAATAGTAGATTAGTGGACACACGAGCAAGCAAAATCAGGAACAGAAGAGCCAACCCAGCCTTTTTAAGAGTTTGCGCGCCTGAAACCTGCTCAACATCCCCAGAGGACTCAGCAGGTCCATAGGATCCAGCTGATACTGCTTCCTTGGGTTTTCAATGGGCTGTCAGTGTGGCCAGATTGTGCTGAGGCTGTTAAGGCATTTGGGGTGGTAAAGGGTGGAGCAGGCACGAAGCACTGTGGAGGGAGCTCACAAGATGGGGTCACTGGACTGTCTAAAATGTGTCGTGATTTACAGTGAGGGGGAAACAAGCCTAGCTTCACCGATTAAGCTCTCCAAGCCTACCACTACTGTGCAGTAAACAGATCCAAGGGTGTGAGAACTGTTTTCTAACAAAAAATTCAGCTCAGCAGCAGTGAGAAAAAGCATGTCAGGAGCTATTGGGAAAGGACTAGAGAAGAAAGAGGGGCACATCCATATGTCGCCCTGGTGCCTCCAACAAGTCCCATACCCAGTACTGGTGCCCTTGTCTTTGAAAAAACATAACAGCAGAGCCAGCAGAAGCTCAAAGAAGGGAAAAGCAGGTGTGGGCAATGATCTCCAGGCAAGCAGGGAGGAAAAGGATTCCTGAAGGAGATCATGTCTCATCCCAGCCATCCTGAAGGTGCAGAAGTCCTTCTACAGGATGGACAAAGTTCCTGGACAAACTCGTGGAAGAAAAGCTATTGAGGGCGATTAAATTAAAAAAAAAAAAACAAAAAAAACAACGGTCTCACGAAACCCCAGAGCCACAAATCACTGGAGGCTGAGACAACGCTGTGGGAAAATATTTCTATGGGCTTGAACTGTTCCCACAGTCTTCCCCAGCCAGCCACTGCCACTTGAGGTAGGGCATCAGGATAAGGGGACACTCGGTCTTCCTGGTCTGGCCTTTCCTAGGCTGCCACTTAAAACCGAGGAGAAGTGAAACACTCACACTGGCCACAACCTGACCACAGGGCATTTCTCTCATTTAAAATGGCATGAATGAATAGGGCTACCCATTAAAACTACTGCTCCTCCACCTCCTCCTCCAAGAGATATAAGGAACTGCTTGTGCAAAACTCTTATGTGTTACAGCCTAAAAACATTAAGTGTGAACTGCATACAATTCAAGACCAAAACCTAGAAATTGGAAGGCCCCATAGCTGACATGTCAGGTGATGCCCCATAAAGGGCAGGGAAGACCCTCGGCTCTGGGAAAGGGCTCCTGTCACATGGAAGTCCCTAAAGCTTCAAAATGTTTTCTTTCACCATGAGATTTTATCTCTCCAGAGGACAAGCGTGGGGTACACCACCAGTGAATTGAGAATTCACTTGAGGCAGCTCCCAACACCCACCTGCCCCACGACTGGTGATGGGATTGGAGGTGCAAATGGGTTGTGATGGGGTTGCAACAGCTGTGAAGCCCCTCGGCGTGGTGCTGGGAGTGAGGGGCTCTCGGGACCCCCTTCACCAGGCGGAGAGAGGAAAGGAAGGTTGTCTAGATCCCTGCTGCCAGCAAGGCTGTGCTTCCCCAAGAGAGGCTCATGTTTGGGTTTGACCACTGTGCTCCTGCTGCAGAGGCCTGCAACAGCAACATGCCATGGCTGTGCAAGAGGACCACCGGCAGAGAAGATTATGCAGGCTCAGCAGTGGCCCGATGACCCTCTACCTGTACCCCTTTAATTTAAATTACTGCATTGGACACACACTTGAGCAGGCTGTAATGGTGGGACTGAAATAGCTCAACTTGCCGTTGCTCTCTTTGGTGAGAAAGTGGAGGATGAGGAGCACCACAGTCAATGCTATCATCAACGCCAGGCAAACGATGAGGATCACCTCCAGGCGGGAGAAGGAGCACTTAGACCTCTTCCCACACATGGTGGGGGCACTGTGAAATCAGAAAGGAGCCCATGGGGAAGGCACAAGGAACAGCCCCGATTTTAGGCACATCCCACCCAGAGCAGCACATTGCACCCTCAGAGAGTTGGTGATCGTTTCTGTTCCCCATCCCAGTGTCAGAGCAGGCAGCAGCAGCAGTGATAAGGATGGGAAGTGGAGATTTATTTTTCAATCTGCATAAGACAGCAAAAATATATCTGCTGCGAGCAGTGATCACTCCTCTTCATGAGGCCCAATAAGACAGGGTGAGCAGATAAATTACTGATATCGCATTTCCCAGGGCACTTTGCTCGCTCTTTTGAGGAAATTGTTTAAATAAACCCCACAACTGTCCACCAGATCCTATGTTCACTGAGTGGCTGAGGGAGATGCTGCAGCCTGAAGCCTTGTAGCTATTCTGCTGCTCGCATGCTTAGAGCACATCAGAAAACAATATTGTCACCTTAACAAAGGTCAATTCAGGAAACTCCGTGCAAGAAAAGCACACCCCATTACATTTCCAAGCACAGTTCCCTCCTGGCTAGAAAAAGTAGTGGTTGTGAGAGCTTTCCAAGATAAGACCCTATGTACTGACGCCAGCTTTCTTAGTCATATGCAGAGCTCTTTGGGTTTGGTTTTTGTATATTGCTCTTCCTTTCAGACAGGTTTATTTTGGGTTAAACATTAAGGAGAAAAAATACTCCAAATACATCTATGGGGAAATATGCTACTTTCCCCTCTGATAAAAGTTCTGGTGACCTCTGGTTTATCCTGCACTGGCACCTGAGAGTCACATCAAGGGCTTCAGTCTTGCCCGGTGGGAAGAGACACTTGTAGCAAAGACGTGCCTTTTGCCCTTCCTGTAAGCATCTGTACAAGGTAGGAATAAGCCTTTAAAATAGCTTTGGACATTTCCATGTGTCCTTAGACATGTTAGTATATAAAACTTACTGCAGATCCCATTTCTTTGCCTGTGACTGAACCACATATCTGCCCCAAAGGACTGGTTCCTTGTTTAGAGCAGTGGGTGGTCTCCATCCTTGCGGATGCCTCCGACTTGCCTGGATACAGCCCCAAGCAGCCACTGCAGTCGCTGGGGCCTGACTGTCGTGGGAGTGGAGATGGGGGAGGATGGACACAAGATTAGAAAGGGGAGAGTGAGGCAGAGCCTCTAGTTCTCCTGCAGGTAACATTTGCTTTATGGTGGGTCTGGTAGTGGGTTTGGTAAAGCTCATGCCCGCAGGCTGTTCCCCAGAGGTGATCTGCCCTGGAAACAATGAACCTGCAGAAAATAACTGCTGAAATTAGCATCTGTCATCTTGGAAAGATTGCAACAAGAAACAACATCACCAGGGAGCTAGATATATGTTACCTTTCTTATCAGCTTCTTTTGCCATGGTAAGCTACAGCAGTTATGACCATTGCTGAATTTCACCTAGCAATGTTTCTAGTGGCAACAAGTCTAACAGTATGTCTTTTCTTTGTCCCCTTTTCATTCTCCAAGTATGGCATTGGCAGCCAGCTGCAAGGCACCGCAACCTGTCCAGATAATCAATATGACAGCACCAGCCTTAAACACATCTGCATGATATGCAATTACAATTTTCTTCATCCTGATTAAACTGATGAAGCAATACTAAAAGAAGCAAACATTAGTCCTACGAAATCCCAGTGAAATTTTGTGCAAACTTACCTGAGATCCCTTGCGTGTCCCAGTGTCTAGAAGAATGTCTCCCAGCTCGAGACCTGTTTCAAGCTGAAAAGTTCAGCTTGAAAATTACTGCTGTTATAGCCCTGTGAGTCAATCACTGTGCTAGATAAGAAGAAACCAATCAATAACTTTTATAGCACAAGGACATGATAGGGCTTTTTTTCCCAGTGCATTTAGTTTAAATTATGAACAGTGCCTACTTCTCTATAATAAACTTTCCAGGATTGCACTGATCAGCTCCAGTGCATGAGGAATTTGGGAACAGAACTTCTTTCTTCCTCTTTGCTTCATCACAGCTTGACCAGCCTGTGGGATGGCTACTGCTTCCCATCTGGCCATGACTCCTAATCCTCATGGAAGATCAGTCCCCAGGGTTTCCAAACTCTACTAAAAGAACTTGAATACAGGATTGTTCACACCCCTCAGAAAGTGGCTGCTTGCGCTTGCTGGCAGGGGGATGAAAGACCCCATGAGCAATATCCCTTTGCTTCCCCCAGCACCCATGCATTTCACTGGGAATTTAAGACTGGAACAACCTCCAACATTTTCCCTCCCACTCAGCTTCCAACAGGCAAACATCTCAGGAGGTTCAGTTTTCCTCTTTCACTGCTGTTTCTTTTGTGCACCTTAATCCAAGGGTTAATATTCCAGCTAGTGCCAAGCACCTGCAGCGTGAGTCATTGCTTAAAGGTCACATTTGGTATCACCTTTTGACTCAGTGATTTTTGGACCAGCTGGTGGGGAAAAGCAAGATTTACCGATACATTATCTCCTTATTGCAATACCGAAGGAACCCTGCCATTGGTGGAGATACAATCTGCTGTGCCATGTGGGCTGACAGATATCCCTGGCCACATCTGTGCTGCTGGAAATACCTTGCTTCAGGTCGCAAGGTTGCTCCAAATTGTGCATTGGCCTTGGAGGTAACTGAAGACCCTCATCTGACAAAACCATGAACAGTCAATCGCTCTGCTGTCAGGGGAAAGTTCCTGGGACACAGACGAGCCAGGAGTAGGTTATGCATTGGAAGGAAGACCAAGAGCTCTTCCTGATGGTGGTATTTGCTAGATCATCATGAAAACATAAATTGAGTTTTAAGCATTTGGTATAGTGACAGTGTATCCTGCCATTCTCACACCATGAAATGCAAAGAACCGAGGAAACGACCTCACCGTGTCTCTGTAACTCCAGAAGGGACAACCCAGCTGTTGCTGGGGGTGGAGAAGGAAAAGGAAGTTTGATAGCAGCTCAAAACACATTTTGGGGAATATCTTAAAACATTGTCCTTTTAAAAAGATTGCTCAATGCGGTTATGTGGACTCACAGCTCCCCATCTTCCCCAAGTGGCATGACCATGTCCACTCGTCCTGACTCAGCACTGCAGAAGCAGAAAGCTTTTTGGTACAGAAAAAGGACTTTCTGCACTGCAAAGATCTCAGCTGAAGTGCTAAGGGCTTGGTAAATCCCTCTGAACTCCTTCTTGCCTGTGAAAATGCAACCTAGTGCCTCCAGAGAAGGTGGATTACCAATGTGGTGGCCAGGAAAGTGTTAACTGAGCACACAGAGGTCATCCCATGGCCCAGAGCACTCCATGGTACCCCAGAGCACCTCAGAGCCCCTGTCAATCTAGTGAGCATCAATGACAAATCGGCTCAAAAGAGAAGTCCTGGAAATGTTTCCAGCACTTCTCAGAAGTTTCTGCACCTCATATCCACCACATCAGACAGGTCACCTGCAGCACCACAACGAGGAAGGACTGGGGTCCCACTGGAGGCACAATGCAGACAAAGCAGCCACCCTGGAACAGCTAGCCTGAAAAATAAAACCCTCATGCAAAAGCTGTTCTGTCAGGGGCAGGATGCCCATAAACCTACTCATTAATCATTGATGATTGATATCAGTAACTCTGCAGATCCAAGCTGGAAGGAAACCAGAGCCTAGGAAGGAACAGTAGTCACAGTTGGAGCAGTCAGGACAACCCTGAAATTATGCTACGTGTTGGAGGTGAGAGAAAACATGGGATTTGAAAGCGGGCATACATATCAAATGTGTGCAGGCCCAGGAAAATTATTTCCTTTGTGAAGTCTTTGTCTGGCAATGCCTGGACAGCCTGGTCCTACACATCAGTCCGGGCTGGTATCATGTTGTAACATGTCAAGTTAGCTTCCCATAAGATTAAAGGTTTCCCATAGATCATCCTCTTTCCCAAGACAAAGTGTCCTCCAACTTCTTCCCCTTCTCATTTTGGGCTAAATGACACTAAAGAAAGGTGTATTTTACTTATAATATCTATCCTACTGAAAAATGGCTTCTACCCATCACTGCTATCACATGATTCCAATTTGTATCCTTCCCAGACACACCCAGTAACCTCAAACAGCACAGAATTTTCATTTTCAACATAGCGCAAATGCCGCAGAGCACTTGGGGACAAGCCAGCAAAGCTCTTGCAAACCTACTTGGTTTGACACCACCACCCAATTGACGTGGAAACGCTTAGCTGGTCTTGACTTCTTCTGATGGATATTCTTGATTTCTGTTTTTAGGTACCAGAGTTTAATTACTTGAAAATATTTGACAAGGTGCATTCAGGAGATTGTGGATCCTCTCCCTCTTTGGGATTAAACAACATGAGTTTGGAACAACTTTGTAGGTGAACCACGTAAAACATCTCAGAGGATAAAATGACACTATTTTTCCTTTCTTAAAAATATTTCATACATTTGGTAAGTTAAAAATATTTTGTAAAAGTACCCTTAATTAAAAAAGAAAAACTTCAAAAGCACTCACGATTAATGGATCCACTGAAGTAATAAGCAAAGCTGAGAGAAGGAAACCCAGTAAACAGATTTGCAAATGTACATTTCCTTATGCAGTGAAGGCTGTGCTTCCAAATCGTTAAGAGGATTCAAATCACCTCTATATACAGTCTTTTAGGGGAAAAAAAAAAATTAAGCAAATTTGCTTTAAAATGTAAACCAGTGAAGCATTTGCTTCCCTTTCTGCTCCTCATTTTTTAGTTTCTCACCCCTCCAGAGCAAGACCAGATCATTTCAGAGATCTGACCCGTTCCTCCAGTGTCCACATTTCACTTTAAAAATTAGCCTGCACAAAACCAGCATTTCCTGGTCTCTCAGAGAGCTCATTTTGTGCAAGCCATCAAAACTGGGACCATACAAAACTAAGCTCTTCCCTTATAAATGCAAAGGAGACCATGATCTTCTCTGCGAACCTTCTGAAACTGAATCCCTTCATTCCGGTAGTCCAACATCGGCACGCAGGAAAGAGA